GGTCGTAATCGCTGCACGTGGACTGAAAGTTGCCCCAAATTCAGCTATAACAACCGGGCGTTCTATTGGTGTGTGAAGGCGGTGGCACCACCACCCGGTCCCCCTCAATCATTGATTGCTGGATGCCCCGAAGATCGGACGGCGCTTGCTCGTCTTCCCTTCTATTGGCGGCGATGCTGTTGCCGATGCATCTCTCCACAATCACGTCCAGATTCAGGCGTATAATCCTATTCTCTTTCTCTGATTGGAAATCGGATGATGGGTGGGAGTAGCTTGACTGATACTCTTGCAGACTGGTGAGTGATCCAAGTCCACGAAGATAATGATTAGGAATAGTGAATAGGAGGAGGAGGTGGAATAGTGAGGAGGAGGAATAGTGAGGAGGAGGAGTAGGAGGAGGAGGAGGAGGAATAGGAGGAGGAATAGGAGGAGGAATAGGAGGAGGAGGAGGAGGAGGATGTGCGTTTTTTAACCGTCCATTTTTTTTCGTGTGTGTTAGTAGCCTGTGGCGGGAGAAGTACAAAACGTCGTCCCCTTCGGCCCTTCGGGACATATCCGTTAAAATTGGAACGATACAGAAAATGAAGACTAGCAACATGGCCCCTGCCGCGCAAGGATGACACGCAAAAAAAGAGAAAAGAAAAAAAAAGAAGAAGAAAAAAAAAAAGAAGAAGAAAAAAGAAGAAGAAGAAGAAAAAAGGAATTGGTAAGAGAGGAGGGGAAAAAAAAGATGAAGATTAGCAACATGGCCCCTGGTGGGCAAGGATGTCACGCAAAAAAAAGAGAAAAAAAAAAAAAAAAAAAAAGGGATGGAGGTGAGACGAGGGAGAAAAAAGAAAAGAAAAGGAAAAAAAAAGCGTGCAACGATACAGAAAATGAAGATTAGCAAAATGGCCCCTGCCGCGCAAGGATGACACGCATAAATCGAGAAATGAAAAAAATAAAAAAATAAAGGAAGAGGAAAGAGAGGATGGAAGGGAACCAGAGAGAAGAATGTCATGCTCCCCAGAATGGAAAAGGAGCCAGAACCTTGAGGTTCTGTTTAAAAAAAAAAAAAACGAAAAAAAAAGAGTGTCTGTCAGTCAGGTGAGATCGGGGCCTTGATTACTCGTACGTACCGCATGCAGCCAGATAGTGCACATCCATGAACAGAGCAATAAACAGCTTCGTCAACTCAAAACGAAACGACTGATATGCTTTGAAATTGCCGAAAGAAAAACAGAAGGAACAGCATCGCAGCATCAAAGTATGGATGCGCGACTAATGTCTACGCACGCTGGTGGTCCCGGACTGACTGACTGACTAACACTGACTGAGAGAGAGAAGAATGTCTGCCAAATTTGAAATTTGTACTTTTTTTTTTTGGTAATGTATGACAATTTCCGATATTTTCTGGCAATTTTCTGGCAATTTTCTGGGCAATTTTGTGACAATTCTCTGGCAATTTTCGGACGTTTTTCGGACGTTTTTCGGACTTTTTCTGACGAATTCTCACAATTAATGGTGATTTCTAACAGCTTTGGGGATTTTGTGACAAATTTGCCTTTTTTTTTTTTTTTGAATTTTGCAGTTCGCAGGTGCTGGCAAGAAGAGGAAGAGACAGACTGGTAATGATGACGAGGAAGGGGATAAAGGAGATTCGACGGACGGTGTAGATGTGGCCAAAAAAGGGAAAACAGAGGAAAATGACGAGGAGGAGGAGGAGGAAGAGGAGGGTGAGGAGGAGGCGGAGGGGGAGGAGAAAGAGGAGGAGGAGGAGGAGGACGACGAGGAGTTGTCCAAACTGCGGGATGTTCCTGTGCGCTTTACTGACATCAACGATTATCTTAGTGTTTTTGAACCATTGCTGCTCGAAGAGTGCAAGGTGCAGATCCTGAGGGGCGAACAAGACGCAGGTAAGTTTTTTTTTTTTTTTTTTTGGGGGGGGGGGGGGGGGGGGGGGGGGGGGGGTGGGGGG